TTTTATTTCCATTTATGTGTCGATGCAATGGGGACATTGCATTATTTTAAGTGTGGGGGAGTTGGCGACTCCGTCTTGAATTTTGCGTGTTTTTGTGGTAGGTTGTTGTCAAACATGTGGTATCGGTGAATTATATGATTTGTTGATAAATGTTTCATGAAATTGGGAAGATGTGATGACGAACGTATTGATCATTGTCTCGATATTTATTTGATTGCTTTAATTGAAATTTATTTACCTTGTGAGGTTTCGATCCTTATTCTTCTTTCTTGAGAGATATTGGTCGTATTCTCGAATGATTAGAACTTGTCGTGAGTCTATTTGAAAAGAATCGGTTTAAGTTTGAAATTGCGAAAATGACTTAGGCGTTTTGATTGTTAGCTCGTTTTGCCTTGTTCTTGACCCTAGAAATACATTTTCCGCTAGTAGCCCGTTTGAACTTGAAGCTTTTTCTTGTAAACCACATATATATATGATTGTTGACAGGTTTTGAGTGACGATTAGTGAATTGGCGATATTTTTGAAAGAGGTGAAAATCGAGTTGCATTTTATGCTTGACCATATATATATATATATATATATACATATATATAATACATGAGAGCTCGCAAGACGAATCAATTGGATTCTACTCCGCTTACATGTTATTCATTTTAACGAGTAATGAGTATTGGGAAACCACCTTAGGACATTTGGATGACCTCCAATTTAAACCTAAGGAATATTGTCCTTGCGATTCGAGCTTGTTCGGAAATAGTAACTCTTTAAAAAAAAAAATTGTGTAATAAGTCAAGCAATATTGCAATTCAATTGGAGCATATAGGTGTTGTTTGCGGAGACATTGGTGGATGATATGCGTGCATCTTGTTGATTTGGTCGAGTGGCGGACATTCGAATATTCTATAACTCGAAAACTTTGATTGTTTATTTGAGTTTTCTTGTCCATATATTTATCATTACCTTTGTTATATCCCACATTACAACCCGAGAAGTCCTCTTGATTCAAAAATTTTAAGCTTCAGTTGATTCCGAGTAATCTAGACGATTGGCAAGCATATGTTGAAAAGTGAATATCGACCAATTTTGAGAGAACCTATCACATATTCAAACAAGAAAATGAGTGAGGCATATATATGATTATCTTTGAGAGTTGTCATTTTAAGGTCGAGATTATATTTGAGGCATATGGTCGTATGGTCGTTGGAATTCGACTTGATAGAGTTAAACATTTTGAAGCATGACTTATTTGAAATGATACCCATGTTCGTATTTTGTTTTCTTTTCTCTTTGTTCGGGACGAACAAAGGTTTAAGTGTGGGGGAGTTATTGTGACCATTTTTGTTGCGATTTTCGTTAATGTTTTATCATTCTTTTTCCCCCGTTTTATGTCTTTTAGTTGGTTTTTATTTCGTTTTATAGTTTATTCTGTGTTTTCCTTTATTTTGGTTTCCTTTGTGTTTTTCGTATGTTTTTCCCGTTTTTCTTCTTGTTTTTCGTGTGCAGGTCGGAGGCATCGTAAGGGAATGACATGGATCGGGTAATCATGATTATGTAGATGGACTCATTGGCTACACATAGGAAAAAATGGAGTTTGATTTCAAGTTCGGATGAATCCGGATGGAACCAAAACGCGAAGCTGCGCAAGTTACCGACCCTTTAAAGGTTGGAAATTCCACATAATTTGTACTCTAAGCAATAGTGTGGTTTGCAAGCATCATTGGATAGAGGGGTTCGTTAGCGACGCGTAGGAAAAAACGGAACTCAATTCCGAGTTAAAACGAACCCGAACGAGAAAAAATCATAAGATGGTGCAGTGCAGATTTTGGTCCCCGCGTCCGCGAGATTTTCTTCGCCGCGGCCGCT